AAAGCGTTCGCCATTCAAAAACCTTTAGAGCGATTTTCGAAAAAGCTTTTTCAATCGATGCGCCGAAACTTGTAGATTCGAATAGATCCAAAAACTTTTCTAAAAGGACCACCTAAACGCAGTAAAATCTGCATTTCCGGTGCGCAAAGTGAATGACCGGAAGTAACGGTGCTTTTGAAAAGTCTTCATGACCTGCAGATTATATGAAAAAATGTCACGTATTCGACTAGACTTTTTTCTATGTTCCGAATAAAAACTGAATTTTTCATGAATTGGGATTGATTCTTTGGCCTTTTGCGTATTGAAAACCAGTTTTAAATCTTTCAAAACCCTTAGAGGTTTCAGACAAAAAATTTCTAAAAGTGGTCTGGAGGAGCATGTTCACAACGATAATTTCGATACTTTATATCGCCCGATAACTTTCGTTGTGGCCTCGAGTGACGCCAAATTTCTTGCGCTTTCTGGAAATATACCGTTTTTGTTGCAAAAATCATAAATGTTAGTTTTATTTAGAAAAAACGCGAAAAATCGAGATTTTCTTTTTCAAAAAGCGTTCGCCATTCAAAAACCTTTAGAGCGATTTTCGAAAAAGCTCTTTCAATCGATGCGCCGAAACTTGTAGATTCGAATAGATCCAAACAGTTTTCTAAAAGGACCACCTAAACGCAGTAAAAATTGTATTTCCGGTGCGCAAAGTGAATGACCGGAAGCCGTTACTTTTGTTTCTGGCAAACTGTTTAAAGGCACTGCATCTGGTATTGAATGTCCGTTTGGTTTATCATCCAGTTGGAAGTAAATGCTTGGTTTGTGACCGTGCTAGAAGTATACAGTCGCAGTCAAACTGTGAAGGTCCCAGCAGGAAATGCTAACGCAAGTGCGCAAATATTTTAGTTATAAATAAACTCTATTTCATTTTATTTTTTCCTTGATTTGTTGTATTTTAAATTTCTTTAATATAATTACATGATTTATTTAAATGTTGAATAACATTTTTTTATCATTTTATTTACCTTTATCTTTAATACATTTCTGTTTTGTTTGACGACTTGTTTTCATAAGTGTTTTACATACATGCTACGCTACTTAGTTTCAGGTTTGCCTTTTTATTTTTACTTCTGTTAGCATAAGTTTTACGTTCTCTTTTCTTAGTTTAACGATTTTTATTCAACATTTTTGTTTTTCGATCGTTTGTTACGATTTACATAAGAATTTAACATACATACAATATTATTATTAGACAATGTTTTTCTCGTTTTTTTTTTTTGTATTTAAACATTTCTAGCACGCACACTTACGAATAGTATTAGTTTTAACGTGGTTTTATGTGTATGTTTATATATTGGTAAGCGCATGTTGCTGCTGTTTTATTGATGCAGGCAACATTCTTTTTTATTTAGTTTTTAGTAGAAAACAGTGGAGTTATTATTATGGTACAATAAAGGGTTGAAACAAGTCGGACTGTAAGCTTTTTTGTTCTTAACTTTGTTGCTAATTAAATGCTGCCAGCTACATTTATCATACAAGATCGGTATTACATCATTGGTGAAGCACTTGAGCGGTGATGTTTGCAGCATCTCTTTCTGAGGTAAGGATTGAAGATTTTGCTATTTAATTATATTGAAAATCTTCAAAAGATATCAGCAACAAAAAATATGATTGTACAAATAGTACACATAATAGTAACGGCTGCTCATGCTAACATCTGGAATTCTTACTAGGTTGAGGAAACCACAATAGACTGAACTAAGGCACGGAATTACAAGCCTTTCTTCAGTGTACTATAACTACAGGAAGTATTGGCGTCTTTTTAAAGCTTCCCCAAGTTTTCATTAACTTAGCTACTAAGAAAAACAGGTTTTGTACAGTGTATGCGTCTTTGAAGATTTTTGCTCTAGAAAAGAACAAAGTAAGGCAAAATTTTGAAAGAGTTTTCTAACGTTTCTCAGTTTCAAATTTTCAGTATTTTTTATCGAAAATCAAATTCCATTTATTTATTTTTGTTTTTTAGATATTGAAGGAGCACACTGGAGCTTACGTCGGACTAATATATTTTTAAATAAAAGTTGAAGGTTTTGAAATTTTGAATTAGAACAAAAAAGGAGAGACAAAATTCTGAGATGAAGAAAGCATTAGAGTTGTTAACCGTTCAACTTTTTCCTTCCCCGATTTTTTTAATTGAAAATTAAATAGTATCTACCGTTGAAAAATCATAAAGCTGGGCCTGCTAATGTGATTTCCTTCCTCAAACTGTAGACTAGTTCAGCAAAAAAAAACATGCATATTAATATGGTTTTCTAATATGATGGAATTTTACAATGTTTTTTTTTCAAGCTTATCGAAGTCCGTGTCTAGTTTTAAATTTAAGTGTTAGTATTAGCTTACGCTTTTATAGTTTTTCATTTCTTTCATATTGTTATTCTGTTTTATAATTCTATATAACTATTTTGGCGCTCTCACATACTTTTCCATTTCCTTGCACAATTTCTAACATTTTCTAATTTTTCCATTCATTTTTTAATAGTATGTTTTTTACTTTCACCTATCAACACAAATATAAATTTCAAAAAAAAACAATGCATGAAAGAAATTTAATTTTTCTCTCTTTATTGTTTTACCTAATTTTTTTTGTCCTATTTCATCATCTATATTCATTTTTTTACAACTAGCTTCCGTTTCTGTTAGTCACTGCTGCTATTTTTTTTGATGAAAGTGTATTTTACAGGGGCCTTAACGGTTATCAAATTTTGAACTAAATCGTTAGGTATAGATTTCTATTGTTTCGATCAATTTTAACCGTTATTTTATAATTTTTATATCTTCGATAAAGAATAACTGTAATTTTTGGACTTTTGTTGTTTCGATAAATTTGTGTTAGTAATTTTACATTTTTTCAATCATATTATAACCGTCGTGTTCAGATTTAATTTTTTTTCCTGTGAAAGATTTAAAACGGCCATAAAAACGGTTAACAATAAGCAAAAAATTTAAAATCGCAAAATAACAAATAAATTTTTCTAAAAAAAAAAAATAAAAATCCAAATTTAACGATTATTCTTGATCGAAAAAATAAGCATTTTGGAATAATCTAAAAATAAGGCTTGGTATTTAGCGATTATTTTTCGCCCCTCATATATAAACTAAACCATTCAGTTTCTTCTCCAACTTTCCCTTTCAGCGACCGATTTCCTAGTGGGATATTTTCGCTGGCTGTCAACAGATTTAGACAGTTTGAGTGCCTTAGTTGGCTGTTAGTTCGCAACCTGCTGCATTTTTATCCTTGAAAAAAGTTGGACATTAGCGTTGTGAATATCGATTATTTAGAAAATCTCGGACTTTTGTTTTCAGCGCCGGCTGTAGAATTATGCGCCAAACAACTTTACAGTTTTGGTGACTAACTTTTGGCTTTAACTAGTTTATATATTATTATTTTACATTTTGTTTTTTTTTTTTATATATATTTTTGTAATTTAATTTCCTTTTTGCTTCTTTTTTCTCGACTATTGCCACATTTCGTTTAGTTTTATGAGCTGCTGTGTTTAATGATTTTTGTTCTATGCTTTTTTACTATTTTTTGTTTTGTATTTTTTTGTGTGTTTGTTTCTTTTTTTTGATTATACATATGGATTTTAAACTTTCTTTTATTTAGTTACTAGCACTTTGTGTTTTTTTATTATTGGATTTGTTTTTGTTATATTAGTTGTTATGGTACGTAAGTTTAAAGTAAATTCTTTTTCCATGAAATTTTTATTTATTTTTTTTTGTTTCGTACTTTTTTGTTTTCAATTCCAGCACTTCAGCGCAAAACCATTGAAATCGTTGCTCGTTTGGCCAGCAGCTGCTAGAAATGTTGTTTGTTGTTTTTGGAATTTGCTTAGTTTCTCCCCTAGTTCTTTTAGTTCTTTTTTACATGCATTTAGCTAGTCGATTTTTTACAAAATTCATTTTTTTTTCTTAAAATAGGTACTAATTTACAAAACTGCTTTAAAAAGCCAAATTTTTTTTTGGCCTTTTTTTTAATTTTATATATTAAGGTATTATTTCTTCTCATAATTCTGTTTGCAACTACTTTTTACGCGCGAAAAGATAAAGGTAAACAATCAAATTTAAATTAACAAATTTACACACATTTTGCAATTAAGGAATTTCTCGGATTTAGTACACATGCATATACATATATATATATATATTATGTAGAACAATATTTTATAACATAACGTAAATTAAAACTATTTTGTGATACTCTGTTAGACTTGGTATTTTAAAGTTTTTAATAGCCAAATTCATAAAAAATTCAAATGACCTAATTTGATCGATCTTTTTTATAAGCAGCAGTTACAATTTTTTGAATTTTTATGAAAAGGGCCACTAATTTTTATATTACACTTAAAACGAAAACAACTCATTTTTTGTAATAAATTTTCAATAAAATATCGTTACTTAAACGTGACAAGGCGCCAAATCCTTTTTTTTTTTGAAATTGTTTAGGAGAGACGAAAAATCGATGTAGTTTTGAAAAAAGTGGACTTGGCACCTTTTCACCTTTAGGTAGCGATATTGTTTTCTTTTATAAAAGATATTAGATATAAAGCACAGTTAGTTGCCTTATCATCAATAAATTTTCCCACTTTTCTTATTATTGTTATTTTTTATTTATTATTTTTTTTCAACGCCCTCAACGCCCCAGTCTGACGCGGAAAATTCCAAATTAAGTGTAAAATTTTATCAATTAAATCAACAAGTTACATATACATACATATGTTTCTGTGTGAGTGGGTCTATGTAAATATGTATATGTATGTAGTATACTGTATGTCTAAGTAAATAAGTATAAGTGTATGTATGTAAATATATGTAGTAATTATTGCATTTTTGCTTGGAAATAAAGCATCTGCAGCCACTTTTGCCTGGCAAAATCCTGTACTATGCTAGAAACCTATACGAAGCGGCGAGGCACAGTGTCGCAGTGTGGGCGAAATTTCGGTTAAAATCAAAAAACAATCGCGAGAAATTTAAGGACATTTTAAAAGCTTACGTAACCAGAGATAAATAAGCAGCTAAGGAGTACAAAAGCGAGCAATGCAAATTTTTTTTAAATCTAAATGAATGTTTTTTAGCAAAAAAAAAAAATATACATGCAAATTGATTAAAACTGAAAATCATCCACCAAAAAATATTGAATTGAATTGAATATTGAAATCGATATTTCAGCACTCAAAGCAGCCGCCATTTGGCAACTCGAGTTTTCATCGACCTTTCACAGACTTTAGCCGCAATCATATAACAATTTCAACCTCAATATTACTATGAACAGTTTTCCTTCGCCGCTGCGACGCTCATTGCCTTCATTTCTCTTTTCAAATTAACTTTCGCTGCTTCTAATTTCCTTACCCTGCCCCTATTCCTATCCCTGTTTATTGCCTAACCTCGTACTTCCGCCTCGTTTAATTCCATTCCGTTTGCACTCTATTTATTTCAGCTCGACTTTATGACTCGTCTCGATTGTTATGCACCCAACTGGCTGGCACCCATTGTGGTTCGCGTTCCAATGAATTAATCTCGGCCAGCAGCTGTTGATATGCCCGATCTGTGTCGTTGTTTATGATTATCATGTCGAAGAGATGACCCCAGCGCGCCTCCATGTCGCGTGCAGTGGCTATAATGTCTTTGAGTTCCTCCTCCTGAAAGAGATACGAGATTATTTAATAATGATAGTCAAAAGATGATGAGTTTGTAAGCTACGATCGACTCAGTCCAAAACAAAATAATAAAGTGAATTTTATCAATGCAAATCTACGAGCCAGGGAAAGAGTTTTTAGATGCACCGCTGTCTGAAGGAGCACTTCAAGGGCTCGCGTCATGCGGAAATTTTCCGCTTGCATAAAACCACCTGCGATAGCTACAACCCGACTGTTAAGCGATACTTCAGTAAATTATCATAGTGTAGATCTAACTGACGCTTGAGGCAACCACAGCTCGCCTTTTGAGCTTGGACGCCGATAACTGCATTCCTGGGACTATGATTTATGAAGTAAGTTAATTGGAACTCAGTAAACAAGGTTCGAGACTTGGTGATTGCGCCAACCTGGCAAAATATCCCAACAGAATTTTAAGAGTAATACTTCAGAGAGGATGCGACAAGCTGACATCCCCTGAGCGAAAACCAGGACATGCGCGATCGCATTGGTCTTTCTGGCCAAGGGCAGCCGAGGGCGGTTGAGGGCACTCCTCACACTTACAAAGCCGCAGCTCTCACTTTTGGAGGGGGTTTTACCGGGTCACTGTCCAATCCGGACCCCGTATGTCGCAGTTGTCTGGAAGATGACGAGGGTGGAATCACTTCAACACATACCTTTTTAGGTGCCCTGCGTTTGCCAGGCTAAGATTGTCTCCCACATACTTAATAGCCCCGAGCTACTCCGGGGTATTGAGATTTGCCGAATTTGTCAATACATAATCGGCTCGGGGCGTTTTATCGATTAAGTATTGGGTGCCGTTCAGAATGTTGTATCACAAAGGACAATCTCTCAATTGTCTAAGTGAGCCCCGGTTGCACGGGCTGCCACCTAACCTAACCTAAGGCTTGCGGTGAAAAATGGTATTTATAAGACGGCAGAACTGCACATCAAGCCCTTTAGGCGTATTTCTTTCAGCTCCCACGCCGGAATTTATATATTACAGCTAAATAAAGTGCTGGAAGCCTGAAAATTGATGAACGCCTAAACAGGCGTTCTATTCTAAGGCAAATACTGGGATCTCAGACTGCTAGATCATGGCAACTTGGATCTTTAATTCTTCAACTTGTCGAAGAGATGTTGTGCTCCTGATTTGCTTCTTAAAAGAAATAATCTTCTTCCACTCACCTTGAACGGTTCGCCATTTCGGATTTTCTTCTGCCGCAGTTTATCGAGACTCGGTGGCGCCACCAGCACCACATACGGCTTCAAATCGGAGGCGCGCAACAATTTCAAACTCTGTGGATGGAGGTTCAGTACACAGATTTTACCGCTCGCCACCACTGTACGTATGGCCTCCAGCGAGGTGCCTGCAATGATGGAGGAAATTCGAAGAGTTGAGAGGATATGCAAGGATATGTGAAAATTGCAATTTACTTAATTCGTTTAAAAAATAGGATATGAAAAGCACTCACACATGTACACACAGAGTGAGCATGTATGTGTATGTATGTACATATGTACTTTTAAATTACTCACCATAGTAAGCCTTCTCGTATTCGCCATGTTCGACGAAGCGGCGCGCCAGTATGTCCGCCTCAAAGGCTTGGCGCGTGATGAAGTGATAATCAACGCCGGGTACTTCACCTTCGCGGCGCGCACGTGATGTATCTGCAGGGCAAAGAAGGTGCAAAAGAAGAGGCAAGAGAAGACAGCAGAGGTAAATAAAAAATTAAGTATGTATGTATGACCGCAAGTTAGAGTGAGTGAGAATAAATGAGTAGATTAAGGGGAGGTGGAGGTGGTGTGGAACTGAAGTAGTTGCAGGTAAGCGGCTTGCGCGGCACGGCGTAACAGATTGGCTGACATATGAAAAGCATGCTGTGCTTGTGGTAAGCAGCTTATGTGTGCGTATGAGTGTGTATGCATGAGCTTTTGCGGCAAAAGATAAGCCAAGGATGCTGACAGCGCTGTACTGCTGATTGAATTGGAGGTGAAAATTTTTGGCTTTGACTGCAGCAATTAAGTCGTTAGTGACACAGGTCTACAAACAAATATATTCTTGAGCGCGAAGATGGTAGGCGCGCGCCTTTAATATGCGTTTTATATTGCAAGGCTACGAAAGGATTTAAGGGCAAGCTGCCGGATGTATCTGCGTTGGTTTGGCTGTGCGCGCAGCGTGCGCCGTGTGTGAAGTAGAGCGCAAGGAAATCGCCGCTTAATTACTTCTGCGTGCGACTGTTAATCAGATATATTAAAGCGAATGGAAAGTAGGAAGTATTTTCACAGTGGGACGAAATGGGATTGCGATTACTGAAAATTTCTAGCTACTTTTTTCAACTCTAACTAAATGAAGAGTGCAATTTAATTTTGTGTATATTTTTTTGAAGATTTACCCTTTTTCAGTTTCTCCTCTAACAAATAGAAAACTAAAAGCAAAAACGAAACAGGAAAATTTTTTGATAAAAAGGCGAGTGTTTAAAAAATCTCGCGAGCAAAAATATTTTTAGGCAAACAAAAAAAAAACTAAAAAGTAATGATGCAAATAAAAAAATATTTAAAAGTAAACAAATTGGAAAATTAAGTCGCAAAATTCGATAAAGAAAACCACTACAAAAATCGGCTAACGAACTCAGCTTCGTAATATACAAACTAATAAGAAATACAATAAAAAATCTCTTTTGATCCAAAATTATGGAAAACCGGTAGTAAGGAGAAATTTAGCATTCTACAGCCGAGCCACGCACGCCGAGCAAACCTACAGCAACGATTACTTATTTTCCCCAAACTCACGTGGCACTGCCGCCGAGAAGCGATCCGAGTCGGCCATCAGGCGCTGGCGCAGCTCGTGACGTCCGATATTTGGTGGCCCGATCAGCACAATGGGCCGTTTGTGTGTGGCACGTGGATAGTATAAGGCGACCTCTTCGTAGGTGAGTATTTCCTCGGGGTCCGTTTCATCGGGCGCCGTCGTTGCGTACAACGGATAACTGAAGAATGAAAAAACTATTAGTACTTAACCTTACAATTTTTAGATGTTCGCTACTCACCCTGCTTCCGAGCTGGCCTTCTTCTTCTTCTTTCGTCCCTTGCGCGCGCACAGCAGCGTCGCACCCTTGTTGCTATCCTTGCCGCGACTGCGCGCTAACCCCGCCTCCTCGGCAATGGCCAACTTCATGGTCTCGCGCTGATGCTGAAACGATTGACTAGGTATGAGACCGGCCAGCGTTTGGTCCTCTTCGCCTTCGCGATACGCCTGCCACCAGTTGGGATCGTCGCGCGAAATCACGTGTAGCACATCACCTTTCTGGAAGCTGATGCCGAGCTCGCGACATGGTATGTACAAATCATCTTCGGGGTCGTAGTCGAAGTGGGCGCGCACATGCAGCACGGCATTTTCGCGATGGCCGCCGCCCGGTGGTGGACTGCCCGCGGGCACAATAAGAAAGGTCAGCGTACCCTGCATGGAGCTTAGCAGAGCGCACACCTCGTTTACCGTTTTGCCGCGCAGCTCTTGCCCGTTCACCTCGAGTATTTCGTCGCCTTCGTGCAGCAGCCCTGACTTCTCGGCAGCTCCGCCACGCACTATGCGTCCAATGACGACCGCCTCACCCTCGTTGCGCACCGTCGCGCCCAGCGGTTCCGTGGACTTCTCAATCTGTATGATGCGTATGTTGTCGTTCTGATCGTTGAGCGTGCCGAAGCAGGCGCTCAATGGCGGCGAATCGGCGCGCATCGGTTGCTTCATAAAGCCACCATGTTGCGGCGGCGCGTGCTGTGTCCCCGCTCCACCCACTACATTCGGCGGCAGTGGCATGGCACTGCGCTGCGCTAGCGGCGGCGGCACCACAGGTGGAGCCACGGCTGTGCCGCGCACCGCTGCGCTCTTCGGTAGCGGTACTGGCGCAACACTGGCACCCGCTGATGTCTGCTGTGGGCTGCTCGTGCCGCTGAGCGTTGGTGACGGCGTGGCATCGGTGAGTGTCGCTACGCGATCATGCGCTAACAGCAGACCCTCCATTTCATGACTCGTCAGCAAATTACCCAGCTCAATGGCGGCGGCGGTATTCGATTGCGTCAGCAGTTCCACGATATCCTTTTGTAGCGTAGAAGCATTTGCGCTAACCGGGTTGGCAACCCGTGGGCGACGGCGCTGCAGTACCGCGGCGCGCGCAGCAAGCGCATGAGCCACACCCGCGCCGCTCAGCACATTGTGGGCAGCCGACACTCGGCCTGCAAGTGTGGACATGCCATTTTTGGTGAGTTGATTCTGCAAGCGTGTCAGCGCGGCGATCAGCTCGCCGTAGCCTGAAGAGAGAGTGAGAGAGAGAGAAACAATGCTTACGACTAAAAATTTATATTCAAGCTCTAAAGCTGTTGTGCTCACCATTGATCTTTTCGACCTCCTCATCGTCCATATACGCCTCATTCTCCACACCAGTTACACGCTCCGCAGCAACCGGTTGCTGTTGTGCTGCTGCCTTGTTGTCCTGCAGCGCCTTGAGCTTCCGTGAACCGCGCAGACTGTTGCGTAGAAACTCATTTTGTTGCGCGATGCGCTCTTCCTCTTCGCGCCGGCGACGCAATTGCTCCTGAAAAACAGAGAACACGAGATTGGTCAGTTGCAGCGCTTGCCAGTTGTGTGTAGCTTTGAAGCTGCGTTGGAAAACAATCAGCGCGGTCGAGAGAAATATGGGCAAGTAGTGGAGTGTGGATTGCGCGGACATTTGCTCCATTGTGGCAGCAAACGAAAAATCTCGGAAATTAGTTCATATTTAATTATACAGAAGGCAACTTAGTGGAAGATAAACAGCGAATGCAACCCTACAAATGAAAGCAGGCAAACTTTCTTTTCTGCGCGCTTTCATCTTCCTCTGGCCGCACCCAACACGTTAATATGAACGTCCTCCCCAGCGCATTTGTGCCACTTAATCTTCAGCAGCAAAACAATTCGCGTAATTTAATTAGCTCGCAAATGGGGTGAATGGGCCAGTAGGTCTGTGGCCGCACAAAGCCGAGGCGGCGACAGGGTGGGGGCGACAGCTGTAGTCAACCCTACGCGCGCGTGTTAAAACTGTGGCGTACTCGGCAATAATAGTGGCGACCTCATGCGACTTGTATTCACACACATACACTTTATGCTTGCCACATAGAGTGGCAGCACTTGAGCGTTTGCTCAAAGACATAAATGACAAAAACAAATCGCTACACTTAGAGACTGCAGTTGCTTGATAGGCTATTAGGAGGGTGGGCACTTAAGAGATGACAGGATGGAGGGTTAAGTATATAAATGCTTTGATATTAAGTAGGGGGAGCACCACAGATACCCCTCGAGGGAAAATGTTGAAAAGAAAATAGTAAAAGGGGTATAGGGCGTAAGGAAGTTGAGCGAATTAGTTGATGGTTGTGAAAGAAAAAAAAAATTAGCGAAAAAGTAATTAATAAGCCTTTGAGTTTCTTAGAATAAAAAATGGAGGACTTAGTATTTTAATGAAGTTTCTTGTATGGTATGTAATATATACATACATATTCCTTATGTAGAAAGATTATATTGTCACTTGAGAATGATCTTGAGTGATAAGGTGTATACATATTTTTTATGCAGCAGTTGAGAATTCCAAACGATTACTATGTAGGTATAAGTGAGTCTTAGAACAGACGTGAGCACTAACACACACAGTGCTCTGATCATTACCCTCTCGCTTGCCAACGCGACAGTTACGCTCTGTAAAGACCTCCTTAATCTCTACCTACATATACCTACTCAAATAGCACTTTGATTTGGCGGATACAATTTTAAGTATGGAAGCGAATGAATAAATAGTGATAAATATGTTTTTGACCCTGGCCTGCGTGGGCATCACTTAGTGCGATGAGAACAACGCCAACTGCGGCTTTAGAGGTGCTTTCTGACCTGCCTCCCCATGGTAATAAGAAAAGGCTCTAATGTTTAAAGCAAGGCTCACCTCAGGGGACAGTGTAGGGGACAAGAAGCTCATACACCCTTCCACCCTCAGGGTTATATTAGGTATTTTTTCCCCTACAGGAATAACTGGGACAACGAACGACTTAAACCCCGAAAGCCATATCTGGTATACTGACGACTCTAAGACAGACGACGGCTTCAGAGCAGGAGTTTACGGTATGTTTTCTACAACCAAGTGGGGCAACCAAACACGAGGTAACCTCAAATCTGGTGTAAGACTGTCTTCAAATTTTAATACGGATCGCCTCCAGGAACCGGGTATACCCCATATGGGCACCAGGAGAGATATTCTGGCCAGAAAAGGGGCTGCACAAGGATTCATAGGCCCAGGACCTTTTACCGGTCTGCCATGGAGCTTCGTTAGGCGAATCTACTATATCTGGGTGAAGAACGAAGCGCAATATTACTGGACAAATACAGAAGGTAACAGATAGGCCAAGTCCTTCAATCCGGATATGGTAAACCGAAGAACTCCTTCACCTCAGTAGGTATGAAGTAAGAATTGTAACAGGCTTTCTTACTGGCCAATATAGAGTAATGAAACACCTGTCAAACATAAGAGTTATTAACTCTGACCAATGTAGGTTGGGCAACCAAGAACAGGAAACAGCAGAGTACATTATGTGCCACTGTGAAGCCCTCACCAGGGCCAGACTCCGCTTCCTAGTATCACCGTAGCTAGAAGCAAATGTCCTAAATGGGATTCGGCCAAAGGACCTAGCGAGGCTACTTAGCAGTACGTACATGAACCCATTGACACCCAGCTCCTCGGAATATACCCCTGTCGCTACACCGTAGTCCATCTTGGACCCGTCAGTGTAGATACAGATAGCTTCCTTATCGACTGCTGCATTCCGTTTTGGATAGAAACTGCTCCCGTACATTCAAGCCAAAATCCAGGCTTCATACCATCGAGGTAAGGCCTAAAATTGAACTATGTCCAAAAGTTCTCGATCCCCACAGCCCAGACTTACTGAGTCGTACTGCTGAGTACATCGCGGTTTTCTTTAAGTACACATCAATGGGCATCTTATTGAGAACTAGATTCAGTGCTTCTGAAGGCCAGGGCTCTTTGTAACATACTTCGTTTACCGACCTCGCATAGTTTGCCTAAGGCTGGTCACTATACTAGGGCACTGTTGGTAATGATTAGCCTATCAAAATGATATCAAAAGTACTTCCCTAAAATTTCGACCTGAGTAGCAATGAAGTCGCTTCGGTGCAAGAGCTGAGTCGAATATTTTTATAATAAACACCATTTAAGTCTACTCAGATAATTATAATTAACAGCACAATCAAGCCACACACACTTTCTTAGGAAGCTTTTCCTTACACAGGAGAGGAGCCATCTCTGGCATGAAGGTTAAATTAGACGGAGCTAAGTTCAATGTAGCAATCGCCTATTTCTTCAAGCCAGTTTTGAGTGCAGCAATAACCAAGCACTCTTCACCCTTTATCACAATTTACCATCAACGCCACTGCCCAGAGGACCACCCGAAACCCACAGCGCGCCTTAAATGATATCTCTACTCACGCTCGCCACCCAAAGCCGGTTAAAAGTGACACGAATGTTTGCTTTGTATGTTAGAAAGTGTGCAACGAAATGTACACACAATACATAAGTGCAACATGCAACACACAAAGTAGGTACAACAAAAAGCAAACAACAAAAGATGTATACAAATAGCAACACTCATATTGTTTTGGAGCTGCTTCCGTGGCTGCCACATTGGAAACCTGTCAAGTGTGATTACTGGCAATCCATCAGAGCGCGTGCAGGCGGAAGCAAAGGCAAACATAGCAGCGAAGCAGCGATGGAGTGTTAGAAGGGTTGCTTGCATAATTTCAATGTGGGTGTGATGGCGTGGGAGAATGGTGGCAGGGGGGGGTCATGGCAGTAGCTAATAGCGACGAGCGCGTAGCGACACGAATATGCAAATGCGCGTGGCGGAGAGGTATAAATGCAACAAGCGGCATGTAAACAGCGCAACAAGAAAAAAAGGAAAAATAAAAAAAGGAAAAACTAAAAAGGAAAGTGTAAAAAAGAAAGCGTGAAAAGGGAATTGCAAATATAGTGCGAAGAAAAAAATCGCGCCACCCAAGGATATGTCTTTCAACGTTTGCTGCATTTTGAGTGGTGCGAGCGTTTATTTGCATGCCACACGCACGCTAGCACAATGAGCGAGCTGCAGATATTTATTTGTTGACATGCACTGCACACATACACACGAAAGCGATGCATGCCATGCGAGCGTGTGTGCGTTGTACATCAGCAATTGGGGCAGAAAATTTTATGAAAAATGCAAAAGTCTTTTTTTTCCATATTTTTCACATTTTCGCAACTTTTCGCTGACAAGGCAACCTTCAAAAAATGCAAAACGCTCGGCAGTGATTTACAACGAGAAACAAATGCACATAAATTTCGCATTACAAAACAGTCGTACAAAAAATTTATAAAAACAACAAAAACTACTCATAAATTTCACAACGCAAGAGTCGGACTGCTTTTTTCTTAGACAAAATAATATTTCGCAAAAATCAATTGCCGGCGTTATTCGGCATTCAAGCTGGGCGCGTGAGCGCGTATAAAGCTGCAAAAAAGCGCTGCAAAGTAGAGGATTTCGCTTGTATTTTCCGGGTACAAGAAAATTTTTTAACAAATTCTTTGGCGCAAACAATGCTGCCGCTTTTTATACGCACATAATTTACGCGAAATGCCCAAATATGTATGCTTAGCGCTTCAGGCGGCAGCGAACAGCAATAAAATATGCTTTTTGCACTATGGGAAACGCACTAAAACGCACAGCAGGTAATTGCAACAGCAAATACATAAATATAAACAAAGGCTGTGAAATAAATTAGCAATAAATAAGAAATGTATTTCGTGGATTTATGTGTTGCCGCTGAAATGGAGCTTTTGAAATTCACATAAAAATTGTAAAAATTGAAAATTATTGCGAATCAAGTTTGTGCATGAAGCTTTCACAGAAAAGCAATAATAAAAAGCTTACCAGGCGCATAGAGTGACCAACTAAGATCCACAGCCAACTAAAAACTTTCATTTTAGATCGCACAAAGTTGCCTTCTTTATTATGTAGATAAGGAGCTTTAATCGCTCTTTTGAGCTTTTCCGAGTTTTTATGAAATTTTCCTGCTAGAATTACAAAACTTTTAAGAACATATGTATCATTAAAGCAGCGATGAACACCGCCTTTATTCGTGATTTTTAAGTTTTCTATATATTTCGTATAGATGCTGGTGCAGAGTAAAAGCTCTGTCCGTCTATCGTTGCATTAATAACTGATTTAATGCAACGATGGACGGAGAGAGCTTTTACTCTGCACGCGTCTATACAAAATGTATAGAAAGCTTCAGAGAGCTTAAAGGGATCGCAACTTATGATTTTGAGCTTGACAAGCATTTGCCTCATTTATTTTTATTCATCCCAAATTTGTTTTCATTTGTTTTAAATGATTTCAGCTTGTGTAGAAAGCATCATTTTCAATTAAAAATGATTCGTATTAAACTTTGACTTCGATAAATCGATAATCTTAAGAAAGTGCGGAGAAATTGCGCCTTATATCAAAAATTTTTACATTTTTCAAA